GGCCATACTTTCTAAAAGAAAAAAAAATAATAGACTTTAGAAGCGAATAGGGGTCAGATGCCATTGCACACATCTACGACAGAGACAGGATGACCACCCGTTCCAGGCCAGCCTGGACATCATAGCAAGACCCTGTCTCAGAAACTGAAATAAAATAAAAACTTAACCCTATTGATGAGTCTTAGGTCAAAATTTACACGGCAAGCTGCCAAAACTTATTTAAAAGGTAGAATACTTAAAAATATATGCCTAGCAGGATATGCTTGTAAACTCTGTTCCGTATGAAGAACCAGCTAGTTCATATGACAGATAATTGAGATACACACACAATGTGTGGTTGGGAACAGGGATGAATAACTGGACGCAAAGAAGTACGGCATCCCTTGTGTGGGGAGGGGGGGAGGGGGGGACAAGAACTGAGGATGGAATGAGGGGCTTAGCATGGGGAGTGCGTAGGAAAGGCTAAGACTGGTTAAGGCAGATGCTTAACCTCTAGTGAGAATGTCTTTAGCCACCCATAGCCACCTGGTCTGGCAGAACCTCCAAAGACCTCTCGTTCTTCCTGAAACTGACAACCCTGCATAGGGGACTGGACGGCCAGCATACACGGGCTTATCCAGACAGATCAATTAAAGGAACAGGACCAGGGAGTCCGACTGCACCAGGCTCTCCTAGGGACCTGCCCATCCCCCGGACCCTCTCCAGCAGCTCCGCAGGTGCAGTCTCTCCAGGGGGCAGTGAGAGCCATGAATAGTAAGCATTTTAGCTCAAGCACATAGAGGCGTTTAGCTGCCTAAATTTAATCCCCCAATAATCGGATTATGTAAATTCCTACTCCAACCTCTTCCACGGCAGGACCTAGCCCCTAAATGCTCTACACTGGGAGAATGGGACCGGAGCGGACCCATCACTCTCAAGAGCCACTGCTAGGGAACCGGTGTACCCAAACGGCTTCTAAAAGCATAAAGCCAACAGCAACATTTAAGAAGGTTCAGGAGCAAAAGCCAGCCCTCTTCCAGGGTACTAACATACTTACGTTCCTTTCCCTGAGCCTTTTCTCTTGGTCTGAGTTCCTAGCCACTTGGCAGGTTTTATTTGACAGCTTGTTTCGCTGAGCATCCTCCGTTGGATCTTGCCATCCAGTTGCCACAATTCTTTTTCACAAATGGAAAACGGGCCACGGAGAAACTGTATCACCTCACGGTTCTTGGCTAAGGGGAAGGATAGCAAACTTCTGTGTGGCCCGTCAGAACTGTAACAGAATCGGACAGCGTGGGAAAAGCACGGACACCGTAAGAACTTCTCCCCCACCAGCGCACGGAAAGAGCAGGGGGCAGAAAGAGGAACAGGCCAAGGGTGTTTTCTGCAAATATTAGGTTGTGTCTCTGTGCACAAATTAGCCAGTTCTTCTTGTTCTTTGCTCCACTGCATCCTCAAGTTACAACAGAAGGAGTCTTGGAGCCCCCAGCTGTAGTTACTGTTCGCATCTTTGCAGCACACTCTTCTCTTCCTGTCCTCTACCCTGGCCACCAAGATTCCAGACCTCCAGGACCCTGTCCTGCCCTTTTGTACATCCGAACCCTGCTCCTGGCCTTCTTTGTCGCCTACCCTGTACCTATGCTGCAACTTCTACACAACGATCTGGGCATTTGGGAACTCTGAATTGCTTTACAATAGGCCCGGAGCCCATTTTCAGTGTTGGTTTGGGGTTCTTTTCAAGTCTGTGTAGATCTGGAGTCCACATACTACAGAAGGCCTTTCACTGAAATAAATCGAGCTCAGGGTAGGAAGAAATTAGAGAGAAAGGAATTAGGAGTCTCCATTTGTTCCCTTAGCTTAAGTTCCTCCACCGCCCAAGGGAGCCTTGCTTCAAGGCCTTGTTTAAACACCAGCCTTTCCCAGAGTAATGCCCGATTGTCCAACCAGAATCTTTTATCTCTTGTCCTAACTAGAATTTATGTTCTCTGCTACCCAGGACTGTCAATCTTGTATTGAGTGTGCTTGTCATGTCTTTTTCCCCTTTCTGGCTCCACCCACATACCTGAGCTTTGTAATTCAGGCAATATCTTTTCGATCTGTAATAAAATGATGCATTTCCATGGATGTCGGGTAAGGAGTCCTTGGTGTGACGAGCGTCCTGAGGTCTCAGGGCCTCAGTGCATTGGCTTCTTTCCTGTTGCATTAGGGCTGTGATTGGTTTGGGGTTTGCTCCATGGTACCCAGGCTGCAGTAGCAACCTCAAACATGACTTTCTCACTGCTTCAGTCTGCAGCCATTCTGCTGGAGCTTCTGCTCCATGGTCTATGTCAAATCTGTTCACATGCCATTGGCTGATGCAAGGCACATGACCAAGCCTGGCCCTGAGACAGGTTGTATATTCTTTGTACCTGTGCACAGCTGCTGGTCACATGACAGTGGAAGGGGTTATATAACCCTCTCACAGAGAAGGGAACTAGGATGCAGTTGTAACAATAATATAAGCAACTACAACAAAAATCTATTAATACTATACTATGTGCAGCTTGTGATCCTAAATATCTTGCCTGTTTTTTCTTCTTATTTGATTCCCACAGTTCCAGCATCACACCCATTTTACTAATAAGGACGCTGAAGCAGAGGGAAGCTGAATGATTTGCCTGGTATATCATACAAGTGAATAGACAAGACATTTCAGCTTGGGTGACTACAACCGTAGAGTCATTTGCTCTCATTCACCAAAGTGCAATGTAGTTATGAATTTATTGTCTCAAATCCTAGGGCCTTCAGAGAGAGAAATACCTGGAGATTGATGGTTTAATCAGACACGAAGCAAACAACATTTGGTGGACATCTATTCACTGTGGTAATGAGGGATATAGAAGAGATATGAGACAAGAAAAGTAAATATTACTAAGTGGGAGGAAACACTGAGAATACAGCAGAGGATGATGATGATGATGATGATGATGTGTGTGTGTGTGTGTGTGTGTGTGTGTGCATGTGTGTGTGTGTAAGCACAATCTTAGTAGCTAACAAGCTCTTAGGTGGTGACTAATGAGATGTTTCAGTGGGGAATGCCACTTGCTGCCAAACCTGAAGTTCTGAATTTGATCCCTGGAAGGCACAGAGTGGAAGGAGAAAACCCGTACCCCTCGAGTTGTTCCCTAACCTCCCCACACTCACCTTGGTGCACCCGAGGCAATAAATGCATAAGTACAATTTTTAACAATTTAAGGCTCGTCACTAAGAAGGTGGCCTCTGAGTAAAGACTCCAGAATGTCACTGCCTTGAGGGCAGGGTTTTGTGCCTGGTTTTGTTTGGAGTTATACTCTCCACACCTGAACATGGCCTGAGCAGGGCTTAAGTTTCCAGAACTGACCTGACACACAACAAAGTAAGGAGA